GAGGTTGTTAACCATTGTCATAGGGCAATATGTGTACTAACTGTTAAATGAGAAACTATTTTGTTCTGTAAGCCTTCATATAAAGTGAGAATAGCAGCACAATTGGAAGAGCGTAGTCGATGTCACTGAACTGTGCATGTAGAAATTTTTGAAATGGTGTATCTTTGGCTATGTATATTTTAACCAGAAAAGAAAGGTCGAGAAGGGAGAGGGTTGACATGTTGTGGGGTTGTTGATCAATGTCATAAAACAATATGTGCACTACTGTTTCATGAGAAACTATTTGTTCTGTAATCCTTCACCTGAAGTACAGCAAAAAAGAAAAAAGAAAAGGAAGGTCAAAGCTGAAGTGCAAAGACAAACTAATGATGTTAATTCCCAACTTCTGTCTTCACAAGGGTCTAAGTCCTGAAGATGTAAGGAATTTCAAAGGGTATTTTGATTATAAATGGTATTGCCTTAGGAATTTGATTTCAGAACTGACTCCACTATAGTAGAATTTGAAAAGGGAGGATATGGCAGAAGGAAGGAGGGCCTGCAATCCCAGGGCTATGGCTGCAGATTCTGACCATGAGCTCGTCTTCACCTAAGAAATGTCCTTTTATTCCTACTGCTTGTTTCCTACCCCAGGAATGTACATAGATTTGATGACAGAGACCTGCAGGGAAGATTCTCAGCATCTGGGTAATGGAATGACAAGACAAAAACGTTACTGAACGAAAGTAAGTCTGACTCAAGTCTATACAGAGGATTGGAAGAGGGAGAAACTAAGTGAGGAAAACCAGTTGATAATATACAGATCAAGGAGTCAGGAGAATAAATTCAGCATTTAATTTGCAATGGTAATAAATATTTGTAAGAGCTTTAAACCATTTGATGCAGATCAAATGACTACTTAATCAAATGACTTGGAACTGCTTTTTATTTCTATGGCTTTATGTTACAATAATATCAGTTTACAATAATATCTCACATTTTCAAGTGATAATTTAATAAATGAAAGCAATAATTTTTAATGTCTCCATGATCTTCCTAATTCACCAATAAAGAGCAGATAAACACTGATAAAAGTTTGTGAAAAGAAATATTATGCATCTGAGTCAAAAACTGTATATCACAGTAACTTGTTTTATATGCTGGATAATGAAATAAGACTGCAGACATTTCAACAAAAAGTGAAAAGTATGTAGAGAAAATATAATCAAACAGAAAAAAAAAATCCACTCCATTTTAATTCTCAAAGATGTCTTTTCAAAGAAAACTTGCTTTGATGATATAGAAATTGTCAGATGGGCATGTCTTTCAATCATTAAAAAAGACAGCTCTATAGCTCCCAAAGACACTCCCAAAGAAGTATTTCAGTATATTTGATTCTCCAAAAATTGCGTGCTGCAGTTACCAAGTAACAAATATATGAAGACAATGCTTATCGTTATTTTCATCTGCACTACTAAGAACAGACTGTTACCTTACTCTGTTATTTTCAAAACCATTTTAAACCAACTAGACCTTATGTTTGCCTGACCTGATTCTGTAGGATTTCCAGATTCCTTAATGTTGTTCCATTAATTGTCATAAATTCCATTTCACTTGACAAGTGTTTAAAATTCCTGTAAAAGAATGAAATATAATCATCCATGATGTAAGTGCAGAAAGAAATAAAAAACTAATTTAGGCACTAGAAACATTCCAATAACATTATGACAAAAGTTAGCTCGTTAACAGGAAATCAAACCCAAAGAACAAAAGGTAAATTCATTAGGACACTGTCTTTCATTGATGCTGAGGCTGTTAAATAGATTAATGCGAGAGATGTTCCTGCACCAAGAAAAAGAACAAGGAAGGCAAGAAACAATACCAAAATTTTTTAAATATTTCCAGGAATAGAGCCAAACACAGTCTCTTATCATTGGCAGAGCACGGGTGGCATCTTCAGGAAAAAGCTATGCAATTAGCTGAAAAAATATGCCAAGATACTTTTAACTGTCCTCTTCATTCTTTGGCATGACATCATCTTGATAAGCACCTTAAAAGCTTTTATTCAACATTCTAACATGAGCAACAAATGTTATTTACTCTATAATTAACACACATTGAGGTGTTTAGTAGAGTATAAAACTGAAAAAAGTAGCAGAAATGATTTCCTTAAGCTCAGTTAAAGAATTCACATTCTCCTTATGCTCCTGTAACTATCACAAACTAGATACAAAGTTCAATAATTTTCAGGAGAGCTGAGAACTGAGACTGCAATATGACTAATAAATTTACGTACAATTCCCATTCTGACCTTATTATCTTTCATGTTAAAAAGTGTATCAGTCAATGCATTACTAATAAAATAATTCAACTCCCTTTATAAGCCAGTCCTTATACGTTTCTGTCAACACCACTTACAGACTTGATGGCTTATTTTTAAAGGCAAGAAAAATTATAGTAGGTCACTAAACTATTCGGAAGGAAATCATGAGTGTCTGGCTTACAAGTCTAACAGCACTTCTCATGGTTGTAATAAAATTTAAGTAAAATCCAGTTTTCCAACGCAGTTACAAAAACAAGTACTCATCCAGGAATCTAGAGGGCCTAAAATAGAGCCCAATGATCTAGTCCTCATTGAGAGATCCTTCTACATTTAGATGGCTCCCCCTAACTAAGGCCCAGGAGCCCTGAAAAAGAGAAATAATTTACTGTGTATTACAAATGTTGTCTAGTAACTGAACACTGTCCTTTAACAGCTGTAATTCATTTGTGACAGGTTTAACCTGGCTTCCAAAGGATGATAACTTGTTAAAGATTTTCAGAGGGAAGCAACTAGAACACAGATTGATAGCAGGTGTCTGTGGCCTGTTCTATCCCTCTTATAACACTTAATTTGCCTTGAATTATAGTAACTTATGTTCTTCTTCTACCCTTCTTAATTGATTTAAGCTCGTTGAAGGCAGGGGTTATTTAAGTCTTATTCTCTTGCAGCACCTTCAGGGCCTAGCAAAAATTGAGTGCTCAACAAATGCCTGCCATCTTCCTATAGAAAGCCAACAATTTTGGGTTTTGTTTTTTTCCTTTGAGTCATAAAGCCCAAGAAATGTCTGTGAAATATCCAGCTACGGTTATAAAATGTAAAATATAATTTTCAAGAGGTAAAAATCAAGCAGTGACTATAGGTGTTCACAGAGATTCATGGTCAAAGATTCAAGTTGGAAGGGCTGTGTCTTAGTTTCTCAATGCTGCTATAACAGAAATACCACAAGTGGGTGTCTTTAAAGAACAGCAATTTATTTTCTGACACTTTTGTTATTGCTGTTGTTAGTTGCCACTGAGTCAATTCCGAATCATGGCAACCCCTAGTGTGCAGAGTAGAACTGCACTCCAAAGGATTTTCAAAGCTGTGACCTTTAGGAAGTAGATTGCCAGGCCTTACTTCTGAGGTGCCTGTGAGTGGGTTTGAACTGCCAACCTTTCTGTTAAGTAGCCCAGTGCTTAACTACTTGAGTCCCCCCGGGGCACCTTCTCAGAGTTTAGGCTAGACCCCCAAATTTAGGGCACCGGCTCTAGGGGAGGGCTCTCTCTGTCCACTCTGGGGGAAGATCCTCGTCTCAGGTTCTCTAGCATTCTTCTCGGCATGCCCTGAGATCTCCCCATGGCACCTATCTTTCCTCCATTCTGCTTACTTGTCTTGTGTCTATGCTGCTCTTTTTATATCTTTAAAGTAATTAGGTTTAAGACACATCCTACACTGATATGGCCTCATTAACACAACAAGAAAAACCCATTCCCAAATGGGTGTAAGCATTAGGATTCCAATACATATTTTGGGGGGATACAATTCAATCTATAACAGGCTGATATCCTGGACTCGGAATCAATGTCTAATCAGTTACCCAAGTGTTTAGATATGAGTCTTCTACTACTCATGTGACTGAAAGTTAAGTTTAATCTATACTTTGGGGGTCATTAGTTAACAGTTGAGTACGCTAGTCAGACATACCCTTGAGGGGTGTTTAGGGAGCACAAGAAAGACAAGTTAAAAAACCATTATCTAGAGGTCTCTCCTAAAAGTATCTCAGCTAGCTGCCTTTATCTCTCACCAGTACCAGAGGTGTAAATCATTTTTCACTAGTGAAATAAGCAGCACTGAAGATTCGTGGACTATCCAGAAATACTGTTCAGTTGCCTACACTCTCACATGAACAGGGTATAATAATCTTGTAAGCCCAACAGGAATGTAAACCCTCAGAATAGTGCTTTATGTTTAGGATTCTGAAAGCATCCCCTGTTCCACCAATTATCCGAGGGTTTTGTCACCCAACTCCAACTAAAAGTGGAATCCTGCTCCTAACACAAGGTCATATGTGCCTCATGTGTACCTTTGAAGCAGGACTCTGTGAAAACACCAAAAAGACAGAGAGGAAATTTCATGGCATTTACCTCACTGTTTTTGTGCCTGTTTGCTATACGATGGCATAATCTGGTATAAAAACAAAACAAAACCAAATCCACTTCTGTCGAATCACAGAGAACCATAGGGTTTCCAAGGTTGTAAATGTCTACAAAAGCAAACTGCCACATCTTTCTTCTGCAGAGCTGCTGGTGGTTTTGAACCTTTCAGTTAGCAGTCCAGTGCTTTAACCACTGCACCACCAGGGCTCAGAGGAGGTGAAAGAAGAGGCCTAGACTCCTCACCTACATATACTTACTGGAGATTCCCACTATCTACAAAAAGAATGCAGTAACTGTGAATGTCCCAAGGATCTGAAATTAGCTCACACCACCGGATCTTTATAGAGGAAAAAGTATAAATTATTTTCTTAATTAGTAGTATTAATAATGTGTTGTTTTTTGTTTGTTTTACCGTTACAGAACAAGTTATCTAAATCTTAAATTAGATGCTGTGAGAAGGAGTTTCTATAAACTGATATCTTCATTGATTGTATTAAGATAAATCAACCACTGGATGATCTTAAATTGGATTGATTCCTATGGAACACTATTTATCAAGCAACTGTAAGAAGGACTAACTATGCTTTTGAATTTCTCATATTGTATGTTGCTGATAACATACTCTGGAGCTGGGCTCTTCCTTCCAAATACAAAAGAATATTTCTTCTGTCAGTGTTTATTTACATCAGGAATTATATACATTTCTCAACTAAGGGTTGCATCTGCCAGCATCCAGGGTATTCAACAGCATATGTTCACTAACCTGAAATACTCAGGCAATTCTAAATTATTTACCCTTGTGGAAGAAGCCAAATTCTATGTGCTTTCAAATGAACCTCATCAACAATGCCTGGCTAGAATACATGCTGTATGAAGCCGGATAGAAATAAGTGACAAGGGAAAATACCTCATTAATATTTCAGACACTGAAAATACAAAGAATGTCTTTTTCTCAAGTTTTATAATGGGAGGAAAATGTCCTTGCTGAAAGCTTGTCAGAGAAATTTAAGACTCTGTATCATTCTTACCCTCCTTTAAAAAAGGAAAAGCAATCTTACTGATTTAGAAAAAGGCAGTAAATGTGCGGGCCTTATTGGAAAGTTCAGCCCATTTACAAAGATTCCATTTAAATATTATTATTTTATTTAAATATTGAAATAAACATACAAAAAACCTACCACATTATACATGAAATCTATAGCTGAAAATAGTTTTCCCTATGTACAGTTCTCATTGCTCATTCACCATTTGTCCAACTTTTTGGAGGTTAATTTTATGAATTATACAATGTATTATACTACAAAACTTCAATTTTGTTTAGGTTCACTAATAATTGATTTATAATTGAAGAAAACAACTATGACTGCAAATTAGATACATTCTTAAGAATTTTCAAGCAGCCTGTGAAAACATTAAAAAGATGTACCTTTTAAAGAAGACACTTCTTTCTTTATATTCCTAAAGGCTGCCAATAGCATTAAAGAGGAAAACAGTAAAACAAGTGTGCCAGGGCACCCCAGGACCACTCACAAGTTCGATGATTTGCTAGAACGCACAGGACTCAGATATAGTTTTACTCATGGCTATAATTTTCTACAGTGAAAGGATACAAAGCAAAATCGGAAAAGGGAAACGGTGCATATGGCAAGGTGCAGAGGACAGCAGGCACAAGCTTCCAACCCCAGCCACCAGCTGTGACTTAACACATGTGAAATGTTGTCCACCAGGGAAGTTCTTTAGAGACTCAGTGCCCAGGGTTTTACTGGGGGCTGGTAGCACAGGCATGTACCAAAATTCCAGCTCCCAGAAAGAAAGTGGGTATTCAGCATAAACCATACTGTTTGAACAAACAATTTCGACACTGAGAGCCATCCTTATGGGGAATGGTAGGGACTCCTTCAAAATCCAAATTTCCAGATGCCAGTCAAGCGCCAGCCTTGCAAACAGGCCTTTCTAAGGATAGCAGTCTCGGGCCTGCTGTGTTAACTCTTTTCTAAACATCTCCCTTTTCAAAGTCTATTTCTCTTAAAGTATTATGTGTTATGTTTGTTTGCTTCTGTGTTCCTTCTAGTCTTCCTTCCAAACATGATCTTTTTCTTTAATTTTTAATTCTTTCTTAAATTCTACCACTTCATTTCAGAGTGTTTCTACTTCTCATTTATGTTGTTCTTTCACA